ATCTACTTCGACCCCATCCAGGAGGCCTCTATCCCAATGTCTCCTCTCCGCTGCAGCTGGTGGAGCTGGTAAGATCTGTGCACTTGGAGCTTAGAGAAGGAAATGGTACCCTTACCACTATTCTTGCCTCGTTTTTGTCTTTCTGGGCCTCCTGGGAGGCCCTCGTCGCCACCGCTGGATTCGCCCCGAAATTCTGGTCAGAACGCACACACTGGGAGAAGACTTAAGAGTAGCGGAATCGATACCTCTTTGTCTCCCCAGTGAGCGCCCCCTGCCCCCCACGTGCCCCCCCTTCCTCTTGGGCTTGGCCAGAGGGCTTCGAAACTTGATGGTGAGGACGTTTAGCAAAAGCGGCACAACAGATGTCCCGCCCCTACCTGCCCCCCCTCCCCCGTCTGCAGAGGGGGTCAGGTGGGGGCGGGAGTGTTTTTTTTTGCTGTTCCACCGCAAGCTGATCTTTCTGCATGGCAGCTGCAGGTTGGCCGGGGAGGATGAGGGACAGGAGGAATATCAGGGAGGCCCTCGTCCTTCTGCTCCTGCTCTGCTTCCTCAGCCTCAGCCCCTCCCCTCCGCTCGTGCCCGCACTGGTGCCCGTCCCCGTTCTCGCCCTTCTGCCCCCTCTTGCACCTCTCGTCTCCCCGACGGCGCCGCGATCCTGGGCGGTCCCGTCGTCCGGCTGCCTCCTCCCTCCGCGCCCCCCTCCCCTTGCTCCTGCCGACTGGCTCCGTGCCCCTGCCCGGGAGGAGGAGGAGGAGGAGGAGGAGGAGAAGGAGGAGGGGGAGGAGGAGGAGGAGGAGGAGGGGGAGGAGGAGGAGGAGGAGGAGGAGGAGGAGGAGGAGGAGGGCCCTCGCTCGCCGCCGTCGCCCGCCCCGCCTCCGACGCCGCCCCCGGCCCTCCGCCCCCCCCGCTCGGGCAGGAGGCACCCCGGGCATCCCCGCCGACGGCGACGCAGGCGGGCCTCGGTTGCCTGCAGGGGCGGGGAGCGGGGGGGGGGGGGCAGGCGGGGAGGGGCGGGTGGGGGAGCGGGGAGGGGCTGTTGGACACGGGCCTGGAGCCGGAGGGTCTGCGCTCACGAAAAGGAGGCCGGCGCCTCAGCGGGAGCAGCATTTTTGGGAAAAATGCAGGCGAAAACCCAACCCCGGGGACACCTGTGTGAAAAAAACAATACGCGGGGGGGGGGGCGAATATTCCCAAGACGTTATCAGGGGAAGATGGAGAGTAGTATTCATATTGCGTAATTGTAAACGGGCCTGGAGCCGAAGGGTCTGCGCTCACGCGAAAGCTGCACGCGTCCGGGTCCGACGGCGCACCCCCGAAGGCCTCGGAGGAGAGTCGGCTCAGGCGCGGAGGGCCTCCCCTGGAGCCTTCACCCAGGGAGGGTGAGGATGATGGGGAGGAGGACTGGGCAGGGTAAGGGCGGTGGGTGTTTTCGGCCAGCGACTCCCGCCAACTTGCTCTGCTTTCAATGGCCGCTGCCTTGGACTCAGCGATCAGCGTTGTAAGAGCACTCGTGGAAGGCAGTGTGCGGAAACGTAGAAGGCGTAGCTAGGCGTGCGTACGTGCGTGCGTGCGTGCGCGCGCTCGTGTGTGTGTGTGTGTGTGTGTGTGTGTGTGTGTGTGTTTGTGTCAGTATTTGGGGTGTGTCTCCTCGTTTTCTGGCCGCTGCACGATTCGCTTGTGGAGTTACAGTTGTCCTTTCACACCCATTGCTTGCATGCTTCGATGATGCTGCTTGTGCGCCGCGCTGTCGACAACGTTCGGTCGCAACTCGCAATCCCGTTTCTGTTCGCGCTTCATTTAGAGCGGCTGCGCTGTCGGGCTTGCGGCGTGTCCGTGAGCTCGGGGGGCGGAGGCGCGGGGGGCGAACGCCGACGACGGGAGACGACCTTCTTTGGGATCGCGTGAAGAGCGCTGCACGGCGACATTCCTTTGCTGCCCCAGGGGGGCGGGGAACAGGGAAGGCTGCACTGCACCCCTGCACTTCGAGGATCTCACAGGGGGAGGAGTAGGGGGAGGAGAGGGAAGGGGAGTGAAAGGAGGTCTGGGGGGGCGGCAACGAAAGATGGTGAGGGAGAGGAAGGATGAGGAGGGGGAGGTTTTCGCAGCCAGCCTTCAGCACAAGTCCCTCCTCTGCACTCCTCCCTGCAGGGCGTCTTATTGATGAGCTGGTGTCCCTCATAAGGGGCGTCCGCACGGAGCCCGCCAGACACGATGGCTTTTGCACCCCAGCTCAAATTTGCATGTGCGTGAAACCCGAAGCGACTGCTTTGAGCTGCGTGAGCCCAGCCCAGTCGAGGACGGGGAAAGCGTTTGGAGGATAGGTGGTGAGGGGGAGAAGGAACGAGGAGGAGGTGAAGCAGGAGAGCGGAGGATGGCGAAGAGAAGGATGACGCGCTCCTTTCTTGGCTCCGCTATCGCCCTATGTTTGTCGTGACCTCTCGCCGCCTCTCTCGTCCAGGCGTGCTGACGGACGACATGACGTGGGGCTCCGACCCATGGGGACCTCAGGGGGCGCTGCCAGGGGGAGGCTCTGCTTGCAAGCAGGGGCGGGAGTCGGACAGGGGCAGGGTAGGAATAGCGCGAGTAGGTCGGAGTGCCTGGACATGTCACCCGTGGCGTTGGTGTGGAGGGGCTTGTGTGTGAAGAGGAAGGGAACGAAGATTCCTCTCGCTTCTCGGGGTGCACGTCCGGAGCACGTGCTGTCCAGACGTTGCAGGGCCTGGTGGGAGCCTCTTGGAGCCTCTTGGAAGTCTTTCGAGAGCGTATTGGGGCCTCCTGGGGATTCGTTTGGGGCCTCTCGCGGCCTCTTGGGGGCGTCTTCGGCCGAGATTGCAAACGACGTGTGCAGTGCGCAGGTGGAAAACACGTACAGCCCAGTCGTTGCGGGGACACTCCTGCGGGGGAGGCTTCCTCAGGGCCTCTGCGGGGCTTCTTGGGATCCTCTTGAGTCTTGGGGCCCCTTTGGCGCGTCTTGGGCCGTTTTGGGGCGCTCTTGCGCTGCGCGGTCCCTTCAAAGGCAGAAGGCAACGCCAAATTCAAACTCCGATGAGCATAGGAACAGCGTGCCATTCGTATGGAATTCCGCGGACCTTTGGGCGGTACCTTGGGGCCTCATGGGGGCCGCTCGCGGGCCTCTTGGAGGCCTCTTGGGGCCTTTTGAGGGCCTCTAGGAGGCCTCTGGGGGGCTTCCCGAGCTTGGGAGCCTCTTGGGGCGTCTTGTGCCGTCGTGGGGCTCTTCTGTGTCGTTTCGCCCCTTCGGAGGCCGTCCAGTGGGCCTCTCTCGCGGCCGCCTTGGTGTCCTCTTGGGCTCCTCTTGAGCCGTCTTCGGGGCCCCTTGGACCTTCTTCGGGCATCTTTGAGCCGTCTTGGGCTGGGGCCATTTTGGAGGCGGCTTGGGCCGTCCTGTGCCTCTGAGAGTCGAAGAAGGCGAGAACGCTGAAATCCTTCAAACACCTATATATGTTTTGTCATCTGGAGTTTTTTTTGGGGGGGGGTTCTCTTGGGGCCCTCTTAGGCCTTCTTGGAGGCTTTTTGGGCCCTCTTGGGGCCATCTTGGCCCGTCTTGGGGTCGTCTTGGCCCGTCTTGAGGCCATGTTGAGCCGTCTGGACGCCCTCTTGGACCGTCGAGAGACCCGAAGGGCCCAAGTCATACATTTTCCATAGGTTGATGTAGGTTTGTGGGCCCAGATGTTGGTGACCATGATTGGTCGACGGACGGGGCGTGTCTCCTGGGGTGGGCTTAGGGCGGGAGACATAATAAGGCAGCACTACACAATATGCGGCAATTCTGCAATCATTGGATATGTGGGATATGTCGTATTAGGGCTTCCGCTCCGCTGCGCGACCTGCCTCCTGCAGCACGTCACTTCCGGACGTGGATTCCTTTCGCTTCGCGGGGTGAACGTCCGGAGCACGTGTAATCCAGTCGTTGCGGGGCCTGGTGGGAGCCTCTTCGGGGTCTGATGGGAGCCTCTTCGGGGCCTCTTGGAGGCCCTTTCGGGGCGTCTTGGGGTTTTTTGGGGGCTACTCTGGGCCTCTTGGGGCCTCTCGGTGCCGTCTTGGGCCGCCTTGAGGTGCTCTTGCGCGGTTCGGCCCCTCGGCCGCCTCTGGGCTTTCTGGGGGTCCCCTTGGGCCGTCCTGGTGGCCTCGAACACCGTCTTGGGGGCGTCTTTGGGCCTTCTTGGGGCCCTCTTGGGCCGTCTTGGGGCCCTCTTGGGGGCTTCCTGGGTCGTGCTGGGGCCATTTTGACGGCTGCTTGGGCCGTCATGGCGCCCTTGAGAATCGAAAAAGGCAAGAACGCTAAAATCTGTCAAACACCCAAGGGAAATCAATGATGTTGGATGATGTTGGTCTCTGGAGGCGCACTTGGGTGTCAGCTCGGGGCCCTCTTGGGCCTTCTTGGGGGCTTTTTGGGCCCTGTTGGGGCCATCTTGGCCCGTCTTTGGGTCGTCTTGGCCCGTCTTGAGGCCATGTTGAGCCGTCTTGACGCACTCTTGGCCCCCTCCTCCTGTACAGCCCCCTCCATTAGACATGGCACCGCACCAAGCTGATTAAGGCACATTGCCTTGGTGCTAGACGCGCCCTCCTGCACAGGCCCCCTTTTGCCGCATAGCACCCTGTGCTAGGCACCCCCCCCGCAAGCTGATCAAACAAGCTGCTTTGATGCTAGATTTCTAGACGTGCCCGTCCTCCTGCACAGCATCCTCTATCCAACAAGCTCTTTCCCGAAACTGCATAATAACAAACTGGTGCTAGACGTGCCCTTCTCCCCGTACAGGCCCCCTGTGCTGCACAGCACCCTTTACTAGACAAGCCCCGCCCCCAGGCTGACTAGCAACACATCTTTTGTGCTAGTCGTGGCCCTTTTCTAGGCAGGCCATTCCCATGCCGATTTGTGAGATCCCGTTGGCACTAGACGTGCCCCTCTTCCTGCGCAGCACTCCCCGTTGGATCGGTCCCCTCCCCAAGCCGATTCCAACCACTGCTTGGTGCCAGCCGTGCCCCCCTCGGGCACAAGCCCCTCTGCCACACAGCACCCTCTCTTAGACAGGGCCCCTTTCCGAGGCGACTCTAAAACGATCCGTGGTGTGCAGCGCATGTGTATACATGATCCCGGGCTCCGGGCCCACGGGCCCCCCCCCCCCTCCCCCCCCCAGATGGTATGGTCCCAGGATTCCTCGGGCCCCCCCCCCCCCAGATGGTATGGTCCCAGAGACGACGACGCCGACGACGACGACGACGGCGACGACTACGACGGCGACGACGACGACGACGGCGACGACCACGACCGACGACGACGGCTGCGGCGGCGACGACGCCGGCGGCGGCGACGATGACGGCGATGACGACGGCGACGACGACGATGAGGACGACGACGACGACGACGAGGATGAGGACGACGAGGACGACGAGGACGACGACGACGACAGCGAGGACGATCTCTGAACCACCACAGCACCACACCACATCCACAGGGGGGGGTGGGGGGCAGCGCAGCGCAGCACCACGCCACGCCCACCTCTGAACCACTACAGCACCACACCACATCCACAGGGGGGGGGAGGGGGGCACCGCAGCGCAGCACCACGCCACGCCCACAGGGGGGGGCGGGGGGGACCATCGCGCGGGGGGGGGGGCCCAATGGCATCAGCATTGGGGGGGAGGGGGGGGGCCCAAGCCCTGGACCATATATATATATATACACATACACACCGTATATATATATATATATATATATATATATCAGTTAAAACAGCAGCAATTTCACGACTCATCTGTTTGTCTCACGACTGCTTGGGCGCTCAGTTCACGCCTGTACATCTGCAGTCCAGCACATCCGGACATGCATGAATGGGGCAACAGAAATTTCACCACATTGTCTCCTGCTTCTCTTCGAGCTGACAGACGGCGCCGCGGATAGTCAGCAAGCTGACAGGCCGCAGTCAGTGTGCAACGGGCTTGGGGGGATTTAGCATGATGGGGAATAGTAGGGGAGGAACAGAGCGGTGGAGGGAGGTGCTCTGGCCGCGACATCCCGCTCGGCAAAGCATTTGGAGCCAACGTTCAGGGTTGAATTTCGGGGGTTGTGTCGGACCCCGGGACCTGCAGAAATGAACCTGCTGCGCGACGTCCATGGGAAACATATGGTCGGCAGCCTCCGGGACCACCAGGATCCAGTCCGAAGGGTCCGAACTGTTTCGGAAACCATCGCCGACGTCGTCAGGACGGGGTACGCCGTATGGGTTGCAAGCACTTCCCCCGCTACAATCAACTGTTTCATGGAGTAGTTCAGCAGAACTTGTCGCTGGGGGCAAGTGCAGCACTGGTCCGCGTTCCAAGGACGGGCCCACGCTGGTCGGTGAAGGATGTGCCCTACTCTGCTGCTATCCTCTATCGGTGTCACGGCTTCGTTCTGATCACCGTTCATTCGGGTCCCTCCTTCACTGTTTCCTCGGCTGGCGCGGCCACGTGATCTCGTCGATGATCAGCGTTGGTCCCCCGTCATGTGTCTGGCAGTTCTTTGGATTCGCTTCCTTTGCAGTACCGGCATCCAGCAACCAGGCGTAGCCAAACAGTTTCGGTAACACCCCGTCCACATGTGACAGTTGTTGTTTAGGAAATCCCACTGCGTCCCTGGTCCCGTTCCCTTGCTCCGTGTGGGTTGGGCAACCTCACCGCGATGTTCATGAACCAGTGATTCCGAAGACTGTTCAATATCGTGAATACGGGGTTCTTGTTTGCAGCGTCACCGCATCGTTCTTTCATGTCGCCTCCTTGCGCCTTCCGATTCAGTCGGTCAATCAGCCAATTGTATATGGCAAGTCCCGCCGCCGTGCCCGTCCAACATCTGGAGTGGCGACAGTTCAGTTGATGACGGTGATGTTGTTGTTGTTGCTGCTGCTGCTGCCGTTGTTGTTGTGTTGTTGGTTGTTGATGATGGTGATGACGATGATGCTGATGATGATGAGGATGCTGATGATGCTGATACTGATGATGATGCTGCTGATGATGCTGATGATGCTGATGATGATGGTGGTGGTGACGATGATGGTGCTGATGCTGATTATGGTGCTGATGCCGATGATGCTGATGATGCTGCTGCTGATGATGATGCTGATGATGATGCTGATGCTGATGATGCTGATGATGATGGGGCTGATGCTGATTCTGTTGCTGATGCCGATGATGCTGATGATGCTGCTGATGATGATGATGATGCTGATGATGATGCTGATGCTGATTCTGTTGCTGATGCCGATGATGCTGATGATGCTGCTGATGATGATGCTGATGATGCTGATGCTGATAATGCTGATGATGATGGTGGTGGTGACGATGATGGTGCTGCTGCTGCTGTTGCTGTTGCTGCTGCTGCTGATGCTGCTGCTGATGATGATGATGATGCTGACAGCGATGATGATGATGATGCTGATGATGATGATTATGATGCTGATGCTGATTCTATAGCTGATGCCGATGATGCTGATGATGGTGATGATG